GGGATGGCGATTTGCCCAAGGGGGTGGCGGTCATGGGCAAATAATGGTTTTGGAACCCTTTTTGATGTCTTACCACTACTTTTTTTCTTATTTCTGTGGAGGAAAAATAGAAAAAAAAATTCGCAAGGGGGTGGCGGTCGCCGGTTCGCCGAACAGGTGGATCCGCCACTGGCATAGAAAAAACACGTTTATGAAGATCAATCATTTTGACAAGAATAGATCAATCGAAAAATCTCAAATCAATAGTACAGATAGAGGGAGAGACAAGCTATGTAATCAGTAAAAAAAGCTGTTTCGATAGCTTTTATATATCTGTTTATCAGTTTTCAACATTTTGTCCGAAAACTTTTCGACGCACCCGTTTTCATTGGTTAGCAAACACGGATGATAGGAATGTCAAGCAGAGATTAATAAAGTCGGCAGACTTCCCTACACTTACATTTTACAGTAACATAGATCTACACATATTCATATTAATTTAGGCTATCATCGAAAATGCTAGTATTTTAAAAGAGAAATTTCGTAAATTTGCACAAGAATTGAAGAAAAATGTTCTAATCGTTGTAATCAATGCCCAAAGAGAACATCAGCATCATCATTTACTATTTGTTCGACAACTTATCGATAAAACTGAATTTACATGTAACAAGAACCACAGTAATGGAACACAAAAAAAACATTTTATCATGCTTATTCATACACCTGCACAAGAACTCTACAATCAATCTGGGTTTTCAGCAAATTTTTTGCATCATTGGGACTTATATTTCTTTGATACATGCACACCGGGTAGTGCATTTCATTTACAAAAAATGTTGCAAAGTCTATCAACATCAAAACAACAATCAAATGAATTGGTCAAAGATATTTTCTGTGATTTAACTGCAATGTTTAATGATTGTCTATGGGACTTCTGTTCAAGAATTCGACTATTTCAATTGCAATTATCACGTGAAATGTTTAGCAATGAACATATTTATGTTTTCTATAAAAATGAAACAAGTGTAGCAACACGAGTAGCATGTTTGGAAAAGATTCTAAAACAATCTATTCGTTTGCAAGAGCAAATTGTTGACATTTATCATGAACAATATTCAAAGACGAAAACTTCATTAGAAAGTTCTTACAATAAAATTTATCGAATATCCAAAGATATCTTATGTGGTAAACGATTCTTAGGTTTAGTCGATTCTCTTCAATTTCAAATTCGAATATCATTTACTAATTTTGTTTCGAATATCTTGAAATATCTTGCCAACGATTATGGTTTGGAATCATTATGGAAAATGTTGACAACTGAACAAAATGTCGGTTCTATTCTAAATTTAATTGATTATTCATCATTTACTATTGATGAAGATGAAAATAAAAAGTCAAATTTACCAATTCAAGGAACTTTTCAAATCGGTTCACAGTATTCATGCATTCCACAAACACCACTCTATCAATTATTTCATCAACGGATAAAATCACATGCCAATGATATCAAAGAACAATGGATTGCTAAAAATACTGAAACCACCGGTTCGTAATATTTTTTTTCATTTTTATATGATTTCTTCTTCTCTATCCACTTACAAAACATGCGTATCCAAAATCACACCAAAGTTCCTATGTAGAGTAGAGCATACTGGAAATATTAGGACTCACATTAGCATTGATATCACACAGTACGAACAAAAGTGCTGCGAATAAATTCCATCGTGTGTATTTTTCGAGTTCTAATCTAGGAATAAAAAATTTCTTTTTAATTTCATCTACAGTTACACTCATACCCTATTTCTGATGATGTAATATAGTTTCAAAATATTTTACTCTTTGTATAGATTCAAATAAGTCTGTATCAACTTCTACCAAGAATGACATCGATACTGATCAAATTATTGGATATACGAAACAAGCATTTTGCTTCAAGTTAATGAAATCCATTAAGAAGGATGATCACTTAGTTCGTGCTATATCAGACTATATGATTGACTGCTATTCAAAAGATTTGATTCGCATGCATTGTATGATCATTGAAAGTAAATTCGACAATGATCTAGTTCAATCTACAAAAGTCATCGAATTTCTTTCGAATTGGCTACAATTAAAAGATGAAAAAGAGAGAGCATCACCTGATGAATTATTAGCCAAATGTTTATATCGTCTGGCTCATATTTATATATCATTCGAATATGA